AAACAGGTTGTAGCAGAGAGCACGTTAAAATTCAAACCGCGCGCGGGATACGTACCGGATGCAATGTACATCCTCATCTACGCAACACTTCCATTCCTAATATTACCTCGTATGGAATATCCTCACCAATAATCATAGAATATTTCTTTTCCTTGTCCGCCAGTAATTTTGCAGCGACTGTCGTCCCTAGGACGGATATTGGCGCGCCGTTGGCCGCAGTGGAACGTGCAAGACATGGACTAAATGTATACCCCTTCAATTTACGCACAGCCCAACTTTTAATGAGTGACCGAGAGGCACCTATATCTATTAGCGCTAAACATATAAGATTACAGATTACTAGTTAAATCATCAACTTGTCCTGGCTATTCGACTGACAGCAAACAGTGGGGATATTCAACTCTTTGTTTTGCTTGGACCCATCAGGTTGTAGTCCACCGTAGTTGAATGTCCTGTAATGCCAACGGGCTGGTGGTCTATGATGGAACCGATAGTTGGGCCACCAAGGTCGTCGCATTCCCCGGCTTCTCTGCCATGCCTGATGTCCGATTTCTTGCGCACAATCGTGCCCCACCGCTAGACATTCTCGAGGTGCTACTGTGGCCGCCTCCAGCTTCTCCAGATCTTCTGCACGTTTGACAGCCATCTCCAAGTCCGATGGTGGGTTCATGAGCAGATGCCGTTGTTCGTTATTGGATCTGGACCCCTTGACTAGTTGTTCCAGCAACTTCTTCTCCAATTCAGAGGGCGAATCATTTTCCCATGCTCTGCTGGCCAGTCGGCACAATTCTCGCACAAAACTTCGCACGCCCTCACCGTCGTATTGGTGCCGTGCGTTGAATTGCTTCCTATATTCCATGAGCAGCAGGGGTGAATCAAGCAACCGTCGAAGGCACGCAATTGTTTCTGCTGTAACGCGTCCCCTCATGCAGTCCGCCTCAGGCACCACATCGAAGGTCTCTCCACCAAATACGATAACACTAAATTGGGATGATCTTCAGGGGGAAAATATTCAAGATATACTTTCACTTGCTTCTCCTACCACTGGAAGTTGTCTCCAACATTGTACTTCTCCGGGCCGCTGTTGGTACCATGGTGGATAGTTTTTCTAATCGTTCCATCAGCGCACTCAGAACGTTCGCCAGCTGCGTGCCGCTCGTGTCCACCGTCTAAGCGGTCGCATCTTCACTTTCAGTCTTCGAAATATTCAGGGATCGCAAGGTCACCAATTTTGTAACAGGCAGTCAACGGAGAAAACTAGTAAACAATCAGGAAATTGTATTGTACGTAACGGCACTAAAAAGATGAATAGGAAACTGCACACGGAGGAACTCGACAATACGTGAGCCTGCGACTGTCTCCGAGGTCTTCTTATGTGGTTTGGCAATCCTTCACTGTTGCGGTAATGATTGAATAGGCTGCAACGCAAAGGAAAGGCAGCTGCTTCAGAACCTGTGGTGATCTAGGCTCACACGATGGCGCCTACCGTAGAGCGGCAGGTTACAGTTTCAGAACATTTGCGATCAATCAAGTTTGAATGCTGACTTCAATAACACGTCCCTGGCTTCTGAATACACGTCATTGGTGGATACCGCTAGTCAATACAAGACAGTGCAGACAGAAGCAATATCATGCAAGAAGTTTTGCAATTCCGGACCAGGTTGAGCATCACACCCCCTGCCTCATCTACATGATGATAATTGATGATAACAGTATGTTTCTCGGATCACAACGAGAGACATGCATGTGGTGCACGATCATGGCAGGCAAGGTACAATGACAATGGCC